CCCCAAAACCCCAAAACCCCAAAACCCCAAAACCCCAAATCATTTTCTCCAAAAATTCTTTAGAAATAAAAATAAAATGTCGAAAGGCCCCTCTATTCAGGGCTCTAAGCGGAGCTTGAGTCCTGAAAGCAGATTTCTGCAGAAGAAAGTACAGAACTCGTGCAAGGAATATGGCAATGAGATTTATTTAGCAGCTAGGAACAAGTGAAGAACCCCCATTGAGAGGATTGTCAGTAGGTGTTTAAGATGAGAGGTTTAGAGGAGGTTACCAGTGGAAAGGTCAAGATTGAGGAAAACAAAGGTGATTTAGCAGAGAAAACCTCTAAGCTGAAAGAATCCCTCCGCAACTTTGAAGTAAAGCGTACTGTAAAACTAATGAATGATTCTCTAACAGGCATTTTTCGTAAAGACCAATCAAATGGTAAGGCCCATTCTCACCTACAGAGTCATACCTCAGTAACGAGTCAATTGGGTACCAAGCTAAGGCTCTTAGCATAGTAGAAAGTTACGTGGATGAACGCATGGAGGGCCAAATGGCCCCTCCTCCTGTGAGTCATCGAGCAAGGGACTTCAGAGGGAAATTGGAAGGACAGAAGGAGGCAGGTAAGGCATGAGTGAGATTTTAGGGAGGATTAAGGGTTATAAGAGGAGAATGAAGGGAAGGAATGGGGGAAAGGGGAGCCTGGGAGGTAAACAGGTGGGGAAGACTCAGGAATATCAAATCATTACCATGACTCCTGCTGATACTGTCACTGATCCTAACATTCTGCACAGAAACCTAAAAATTAAGGGAAGATTTTCAAAAGAAAGTACTTTTTCTTCCTAAACTGTAGCTGAAAGTAAGAATGATGTTAAGAAGGAGACGCTCGAAAATAATTGGTCAAGTACATGATTTATCAAATTTCTTCTATATTCAATCAAAGCACAATGAATATACATATACCGAAGTAGCTAGCATGTTTTATGCACTAGATACACATTATGCTTTACAGTTAGCATAAAAAGCCCTGGGAATGTTCTGGTTGTAATAGATCATTATCAAATAAGCCTTCTTGTGGTTCCCACAAGAAGGTTTACTCTGAAAAACGAGTTTACAACTGAGGAAACTACCAAGACATTAGATGGCTTATATTGAACTCAGCAAAAGGCAAAGTCTTGCACTTTTAAGCATTTGATAATCCTTCTAATCCCAGATTGGTATAATTTTAAACATTTCGTTATTTTCCTCAAATTCTAACACAGCTTTCTAAACCTGCTTAAATTTTTCTTTAGATCTCAAGCTGAAACGAGTGCAGGCGAAGGAAGAGCGCAAAAAGCGAGCACTAGAATTTAAATAATAGAATGTCTGAGGTCTTAGGCAAGGAATATCTGTATAAATAAAATCCAGAGACAATTTGAAGATTCTCAGCAACAGCAAAAGAAGGTTGAGCAGGAAATTATTGACCAAAAACGAAGAGTTTATAATCCAAAAAGAGGTAAAAATGTAAGATTCCCTTCTCCTCACTGCTTAACCTCCTTCTAGGGTGAGCTACACAGTCCGTACAGGAATTTGGAGATGAAGAAATTTGCTAAGAAATATGAACAAGAGCTTCAAAAATTAGAAGCTAAGAAGAAAGATCAGAGGGAAGAATGGTACAAAAACCTTGGAAATGGCCTTCCTTATAAATCAAAATTACCGTATAATAAGAAATTAATGGAGATATTGGAGAAAGAGAAATTGGCAAAGCTGGAGCAGGACTATAAAAAGCAAGCCTTAAAGGAAAAGACAAAGAAAGCTCAAGCATATGCCAAAATGGTCAAGGACATCCATTGGCCTGCAATCTCGCCAGAAAAGAACCTTGAAGTCATTGAGAGGAAGAAAGAGTTGAGTCGGAAGAAAGGCAAGCCTAATAATAGATCAATCAGTCCAATATTTCATTCTTCTCATAAGTCTTTGAAGAAGGGAATGCCTATGATTAAGGAGACAAGTATTCAGCCTAAAACACGTAACAAGAGGACTTTACTTACCAAAATCAAATGGGGGAAATCAATGTACACAAAAGAGCAAGAGAAGATTCAAAAAGAAGCCAAGAAGGAATATAAGAATTACCTTCTTGAATTTCAGCCTAAAAAGAAAGGTACCAAGCAAGGTCATGATGATATTGACGAAAATGAAGCTTTTACTCCTTACTGGGACTGGAAATCCATCAACAATGATACCTCAATTGACGATGCAGCCAAAGTAGAGCTTTTGAAGGAGAAAGCAAATATGCTACAAGAGAGGTCAGAATTGAATGAGAAGCTCTTAGATACAGGCACGGTTGAGCCTGAGAAATCATCTATCACGAATAACTTCCTGATTGCTTCTATTGAGGCTAAGCTGGCCATTCTGCAGCAGATGAATAGTTAAGAAACCAAAATCCTGAACATTTTCAATATTCTCGGAACAGTGAGGGGTTTTGGGGTTTTGGGGTTTTGGGGTTTTGGGG